ATGAGAAATAATTATTTACCTCTGTCAGAATTTGATGTACCTGAAAGCTTAAAGAAAACTAATATTTGAGATTACCGGTGTTTGGAAATATTATATTATATATGTACAAATGGTATGATTTAACTATCATTTAAGTTGGATTATCATCGCGATACGTAATTACTTCGTAAGAGTATTATTAATCGTAATTTTGAATTTTTTTATTCATTAATGAAAATGTTTCGATATAAAGTATTTCTTTATTTTTTGTTTGTTTTTTTTTCTTTTTTTTTTTTTAAATAGAAAAAAAAGTACGAGTCGTTCGCGAAATTTCCAATAAATTTCTTTTTCTAATTTGAACAACCACCCTCGATTTTCCGAACGAAACAGATCCTCCTCGGATACATTTTGTTCATGTACCTACTGCGTATGGTTGCGTAAGACAAAACCTTTTGTTTTAACATTTCATGGTTTAATTACGTAAGCCACGGTAACAATACTCCGAAGATTACGTGAACGTAAACAAAGTGTCACGGTTACGTGTGTCGCCTATGTATGGATGATTTTAGATTATGATAAAACGATGTTTCTTCTAATCAAAAGATTTCTAGAAATTCTTAATCCTATATCCTATATCTTTTAATCAAAACACATCATTTTGATTATTCATTATTACAAAGATTTATAATCAATTTCATTTTTTTTCCCATTGATAAAAAAAAGAAAAAATGATTTTCTTGCCAAATTATTTTATTAAAAAGGCACGTACGAAAAGGTAGACAAAATCATACTTCAACTTTTGTCAAAGTTCATCGTCTCGGCAACGAGTCAGCGATTTGTTGAAACGCTTTGAACCCTTCCAGCCCAATGATTCCTACAAAATTTCTATTTGTATAATATCCATTTAACGAAAATATCATTTCTATCGTCTAAACGAAGATTTTCTTTGTCAAATCATTATTCGGATAAGCACGAAATGCACACAGGACAGTTCTGCAACTTTTGTCAGAGTTCATCGTCCCGACGGCGATTTGTCGACGAAAGGAATCAGAAACGTCGAAGGAGATTCGAATTAATCTCCCCGACGAGATGAAAGAAAAGAAAAAAAAAAGAAAAACAAAGGAAAAAGGGAAGGACCAAAAAGAGAAGATAAGAAAAAATGTTTAAAAAAAACCAACACAAGGTGGAAAAAAGAAGGAAATTTTGAATACTTCGTTTCCTTTTCGTTTCTTAAATTCTGAATATCCTATAGCAACTAATCATTATACATTTACCGTAAGGGGAACACATTGATTAATCCAAGGCCAAGGGTTTTCTTGTCTGATTTATGTTTACTTAAATTTTCTTTTTCTTTTTTATACTTTTCTGTGTTTGATCTCTGTTTGTTTGTTTTTCTTTTTCTTTCTTTCTTTTATTATATATTTTTTTCTTGTATACTTTTTATCAAGGACATTAATAATATTTCTCAATCGTTTGAAAATTACACATTGTAGTAGAAGTGAAAGAGATCATGGGATGTTGTTTTCTCGTCAAGTATTCGCAATTGAGTACACGGTTAAATTACATCTTGATAAGGTGGCATTCATGATCCTCGAACAAATAGTAACAGTCAATCTGTCGTGAAAATAACCTACGCCCACCGAAAAAGCTTACTGCTCGTTTTGTTAACATACAAAACAGGTTGGATAAATTACGCGAATAAAACGGATCATCTCCCCATTCGTAGAATTTCGATGTTACGAATTCCCTAACATTTTCCGTTAGACCATAGCAAGATATTTTATCTGTGTCAGTAATAATAGATCCCTCGTAAACATATTACGTAATAAGTATATTCATAATAATAATAATGTTTGAATAACAAATTAATGGTTTCTCGATAAAATCGATTTCATTCAGATATTTAAATTGAATGAAATTTAACAATATAAACGAAAACAAGAAATGTTGTTTGTGCGATATTTTGGAGAAACGAAGGGAGAACAAAAATTGTTAACAATTTGAGGCCGAGTAGAGAGGAATATTGATTCTTTCCCGAGTGCATACACCCCACTACAATTGTCATCAACAGCTAGCAGCGGTTGCAGCGTACCAACACCATCACCACCACCACCTCCTCCAAGTTCCAGCATCACCAAACCAACAATACTAGCATCAGTGGAAGCGAGAATATATCTAACAGTAGTTCGTCCACCCTTTAAGATCGATAGTCGAGTTCAATGTCCTCTGAGATTACCCCCTCACCCCCCAAACCCCTCTCCTCTTTCCCTCCCACTCTCCCCAAAAACCGAAAACCAATATAAACTCCTTCCCGAATTATCTAGTCTACGGATAGTTTGAAGATAATTTGCCAATTAAAATTAAGCCACCCTTTTTCTTTCCTCAATTTTCTCAATTTTCCCACCATTCGTTTGTTCTTCGGATGTAACTCGGATTCGTACCTCGATGACCTTTCTTGCAGACAAGAAAGGGATACCCAGAAGTGAGAATGCAATGTCATCTGAGTGGTCAAATAATAGAAGAAAATAGTGAAAGGAAACGAGAGAGAGAGAGAGAGAGAGAAAGAGAGAGAGAGAAAAACACGGTAGCTTGACATATGAAGTTTTATTCCCCCCTTCTTTTTTCTATCCTCTATCCCTCCCCATCCCTGACTAAAAGTCAACTGGTAACACGATATGTACTTTCTTTAGCATCGTTCTAACGTAAGAAAAGGATCACAATAGGAACGCCCACATAAAAGTGGACTTTGCAAGTACGTAGACCTCTTCTTAACACATAGCGTTGAACGGTGTTGGAAAGGGGGTAGATTCGTAAGAAAAACTGGAAATCCTCAGATTTCGATGAAAGTTGATCGGTTTTACCTTCGAGGAAAAGTACAGAAAGTGACGATTTCAAAAACGGATATATATTATTCTTCAGTTATTGATCATATTTAATTCGATTGCTTACGCTCGAAAAGAGGGGTGCTATAAGTAAAATGACAATAATAGAATTGACTTGCATAAATCTCGATTTGTATATGCGTATTATATTGTAATGACAAGTTTCTACACGTGTTTGCGATCTTATAACAAATTCGCCCACATCGTGTTTATAACTCTGTTAATTGGCTTATCATGCTAATAATAATAATAATAATAATAATAATAATATTAAATACATATATTATTATTATTATTATTATTATTATTATTATTATTATTATTATTATTATTATTATTTTCTCTCTATATATAAAAATCTTTATTTGAATGTTCGTAATTTTAAAAAGACCCGTACTATTTTTAACTTCAATCTAAATAAAGTTTTGTATAATTACATTTTATAATTCCAGAGAAAAAGTTGAGGATATTTAACTTTCAGAAGTATTAAATACAAACAAAACTTGCTACAAAGGTTTTTAATGAGTGACAGAAGTAAACAAGAAAATCGTTAAGTATGCTAACTGTAAAGAAGCAATTACAGGTAAATTAGAAAAATTTCTATCCAAGTTGGACAAAATTAATACAATTTTTTGATACATTAAACAAATAACCACAGGGATTACACAAGTCTTATAATAATTATTATAATAATATTAGATTGTTCGAAAGATTTTGATAGTTCATTTTAAGAAAAGTGGATGTAAATGTATTTTAGAATTTTGCACGAGATTTTTTTAGGTAACTCGATATAAATGAAATACGATTCGATTTTGTTTTAAGTATGACGTCATAACCTTGACCGGAGTAAATCTATTAATTAATTTACAAGCAAACCATGCTTTTCCTGCGTACCTTTGGTAACGTATAAACGATGATAAAAGTGAAAAGAATTGTTATTATATTGTTTAATAGTAAATATCAAGTATGATAAAGTGTTGGTTCTTCCTGACGAATAGAAAAGTTAATCATATTATGTATCTAACAATAAGTCAAAACGGAATTTGTCAACCTACGTCATGTTCTTTTTATTTTTCTTATGTATCCATGTCTGGATGTACTTATCCTGAAAAGAAGAGAAAACAAAAGGTTAGGACCATTTAATCTTCCTAAATCGGCGGTGATCGACATTATAATATTTGTCTCTTAGACTCGTACCTTAACCGTCTAATCCGCTTTGATTTATATCTTGAATCTGAAACGATGTGAACGTCCAAATAAGCGTTTCAAGTCATTTTCTAATCCCTTTACATTTCCTTGTATATAAATTACTCTTGTATATTGGAAATATGAATGAAACAATTAATTCAAATCAAAACTATTTTTATTTATTTTAACTATTTATTTTAAAATTAATCGTATCATTTATTTTATACTCTCCCTGTAATTGTTTTTTATTGTTAAATACATTATACAATTTCTATTGATTTTTGGTAATATTACGTTACATTATTATAAATAATATATATAATATAAGGTAATATACGTCATTAATATAAATAATAATAATAATAATAATAATAAATAGAATATATATATAAAAATATCGTCCTTTTTTATATTTGTTAGTTTAAATTTGTTAGGAACATTCTGAGCACAATTCAATATTTAAAATAAATTATAAAATTCTTGGAACGCGTCTCGAAAATTTTCCTAATGTCAGAGTTCATGAAAATATATTTGTAATGATTTACCAAGTGAACCTTAAAAAGGTTTTTGACGATGCGCGAGATGCAACACCTGTGACATTTTCTTCTTTGACGGGAATTTTATGATTGACTAATTGGAAAAAAATATGTGATAGCATAACGTCGTTAGGGCAATAGAAAAAAAATGTTGAATAGCTGATCTTACAATTTCATTGAATGTTCTTCGGAAATAATAAAATGTCGAGGAGGAAATCTCAAAGGTATTCGATAAGGGATTCGATTTATTCACCTAACCAACCCCCTCTTTCGAAACACCCTCTTTCTCACTATTCACTGTCCTCGTCTATTTATTCAACATTATCGGAGGATCGCTCACACCCTCACGTGGAGCGGCAAGCATGCGCATAGGATGACATCGCTTAGGAGGGTCTATAAAGGTGCGCGACTGCCACGACAAGCTCAGTTCGAAATCGTAAACAAAGCTTCGACGTTGAGGAAGAATACACCGATCCACTGCTATTAGCTCGAGAAACCAAAGAAGAAAAAGTTAATTCTTAACTTCAATTCGAATAGCTTGACTGGCTGAAGTGGTGAATTTATTTTCTTTCTTTAAGTGGAAGGTGTTTTATAATATTAAACAAAATTCGAAGCATTTGTAAGATTTCATTCGAAAGAATTTTTCGGAAAGACAGACAAATAGTTCGAATATAATTATCTAGATCGATCATTAAATATCGTACACCTGGAACAAACCAAGAATAATCTTATCCGACTCAGTGCAAGCATAACCGAGTGGGGACAGGTTATTTACCTGTAATTTTGATTAATACCAATCCAGGAGATATGGAAGATTCTACGAGATTAAACGATTCAAATGAACTTCGTCGTCATCATCATCATCATCATCATCACCATCATCATCATCATCACCACGATTACCGGCAGGCACCGCAAACGCAACAGAAACAGCAACAGCTATCCCGTCAACATCAACGAGATCCAAGTGGTCACAGATTGGAACTGATTGACGATGAGTGTAGCACCGACAGTGGTTGCAGCAGCGGTGGAAGCAGTGGTAGCGCTGAAAGATTGTCGCGTCGTGGTAGCGCTGAACGTCTTTGCCGGGTCAACAGGTCCTCCAGAAATCATTGTTATCCCGACAGATTTCGTGGAAGACCGACAAGATCTCAGGAACGTTTGACCAATGCCCAAAGAAGTACCGAACGTACGCGAGCGAAATCATCAAGATCATGGAGTCCCAATGACGTTAGGGGAAATCAATGTGGAAGCGGGGAATCTTCTTCTTATTCGCCAAGTCCGTCAGATGCTCACAGTAGCAGCGACAGCGACAGTTTGAAAAGGCCATCCACCGCCGAAACACTCAGACGTGCTTTCCAAACTTTTAAAATTTCATCCAAATGGGAAAACAAGAAGAAACACGCCAAGAAGAGTCCTAAAAGAATCCTCAGAAGCCCGGTTTCTTATACCTACGTAAGAGGACTTTCTGGTTTACCAACTCAAAGAGTCCCAAAAAATGCAACCCAACAACTCATGATGTCCTGCACTTGTCAAAACTCGATAGGACTCTATCGATAAGTTTCCTGTATCTTCGTTTCAACTTCGAAGATATTTTTCAACATATTGGAGATCCAAAGTCATGGTGGCTTCTATCAACAAGATTTCACTGAGAGACCTGTCTATTTATATTATTTTACTTTGGTTTGATTGTTTACTTTTTTCAATTCATTCACTTCGCTATTTCTTCGTACCATTTCGGCTTTCGAAGATAAAACGAAATGCGTTCATCGAATGGGATCAATTCGTGTATATATTTACAAGTATATATATCAGCCTAATATATCAATTCAATTTCACAAATAGTTTTTCGTGACGAGTATATCTGGTCGATGTGCTTCCGAAAAAAATGCTTGAACGTTGTTTTTACAATTTTTAATTTCTAAAGTATTTTATATGAAATACACATCTCGCGTATACGTATATGTGATAATATTCATACTTTTATTCAATGACAATTTCTAATACGAAGTTTAGAGAAAACCTAATTATCGACGGTCTATCTCGAAACCAGCTCGAGTTTCGAAACAATTTATTAATCGATGAAATATAATCGAGACTCGAGCGGGGGAAGAAAATTTTCAACTTAAGCGTGATTTTTCATAATACGAATGAGGGACGATTGAGACGTAAATAAGGAAAAAAAAAATATAAAAAATACGAAAAATACCAACAAAAATATAGAACAAATTTTTCATCAGATTTTTACGAGGATCTCTTAGGATCTTTAATGTCATGTGGCTTAGCGTACTAACGTATAAAACGATTAAATTTTTAAACGATAGGTCATGGTGTAAATTATTTCACGAGAGTCTAACGATTATTTTCGTTTATTGAGAACAAACAAAAAATAGAAAGGAAAAAAAACACAAAAAAAGAAAAAATACCATGTGAGCCAAAGTTCTCATCTACACATTCAATTACATATTTAAATTCGTATATTATATATAAAACTATATATATCCAAAGAGAGCCTATTATCACAATATCAAAAAATATAGATTAACACTTTCGTTACTTCGAACACGAGTATCGTTCCATGTAAATTCGTTATCGTCGAATAGGGACGACCCTTAAATGGGTCGGTAGTTCGTAGGTGATTAACCCTTATATGGGTTTGTAGTAACGAAAGGGTTAAACGAAATATTCTATACAAAGACGCGAAACGATATGACATTCATATATCGTTAGATATTATAATATTACGATTATTATTAACGATTTCTGTAAAAAGAAAGAGATAACCAAAGCAAGGTAAAGCCGCACCGACGACTGAATAGTTTTTAAAATAGAAAACATTTGAATATTTTATTGTTAGAAAAAAGTCGCACGTGTTCACGAAGAAATTTATCGCTTGATGAGATTACGAACGAAAGTCGAACAAATTCAAGAAGCATAACAAGAGAGAGAAAGAGAGAATGACAGATTTAATTACTTGTTTACTCATACATACACATACACACACACATACATACACACTCATATATATATATATATATATTGTACATGCGTATTGCGTACGTATACACGCATAATTGAAAATATAAATTAATGAATTAATTGTTCCCGTTAATTGTGACAGTGGAAATGAAGTGAAACAATTAGAAGAAAGAAAAAAACAAAAAATGAATATTTTATGATTTATTTTATAAGAAATTAATATCTATTATAAAATAAATTATGAAAATATATAAATTTTTGATAATTTTTGTTGACTTAAGCCACTATCATAATAACGGGCACGATTATTTCGAGCCAGAAAAAAAAAAAGGAAAGAAAAAACGGTTCGGGTGTCAGGTCTGTAAGTAAGACTATCTCGCATATTTGATCTTATTCTTAAGTAGCAAAGTTTTATCGATTAATCATTTAATTAGCGCAAAAGCGTTTAAGTCGAGTTTAAATTGTCGACAATTTAACGAGAAAAAGAAAGGTAGTTGAATTTTTCCTAAGATTTAACACATTTGACTAGCGTAACTCGTTAGTTTCCATATTCAACGAAACAACTTTTAGTCGAATTTTAGTCGAACGATTTATCGATCGTTCTTGAATAATTTGTTTAATCCTTCGCGATGAAAATTATTTAATCAAAATTACGAGTACTCTTTTATCTATTAAAATATTTCGAAAAAAAATAATAATATAATTTTAACGCGAATCGACAAATTTGGTGCTAAAAACAAAAACAAACAAAAAATTTGTTTCGCAATTATCGCGAAGGATTAAACCGATTTTACTCGCGTGTGTAACGAAAAAAAGAAAAAAAAAAAAAAAAAAAAAAAAAAAAAAAAAAAAAAAAAGGACAAGAAAAGAGGGATAAAGTAAAAAAAAGTCAAACGCATCGACGTTTCTAATTAATATCCACGCATGTTCGCGATTTTCTCGGCGTTTTTTCGTTTAACAAAAATTAAATAAACGAATATAAAACGAAACAAAAATACGGGCGCAAACAAAGTTTTTGCGTCGTATTGCGCAATGTCAATTAACGTCGACGCGTATACGACTATCAAATTTCGAAGTTAACCAATTAAACGAGTTACGGAGCTTTAGTATTACATTTGAAAAAGGTCGACTAAAATATAATACGTTCTTTCTATTCGTAATAAGAAAATTGAAATGAAATTTTGTCCATGTTGCCATGCCTAGACGAGAATTTCATTCGATTATTTTTTTTCTAATCAAAGGTATCTTCCTCGAATTATATCGATCGAGGCACCAAGATCGCGTTTTGCACATTTTATTATAAACGAAAGGACGACAGGGCGACGAACTCTTTGATTTAAATGAACGGAAATGAAAAAAAAAAAAAAAAAAGAAAAAAGAAAAAATATTCCGAGTAATCGTGAGGAAGAGATAAACGAGTTCAGTGACAAATCGTTTAGGTTTTTTATTAGCGTTGTCAACGACTCGATCAGTACATATCATAACGCAAAAATAGATAAAAAAAAAAAAGAGGAAAAATCATTTTAACATTTCGGTCCAAAATATTTCCAAAGAAATCGAAAATTTGGAGGAAAAGAAAAAAAAACATTAACAAATTGATTAATTAAATTAATGAAATTACAGGGAATGTGCGAAAGGGTATTTTGTCGAGTAAATAAATAAACAATTCACGGAGTTGCGTTCTTCCCGTCTGAAGATTAAAAGAAAAAAACAAGAAAAAGAAAATATTATCTTTTTCTACGTGTTTGCAATCGAACGATTGACACGGCACTATGATGCGATGACACGTTGACATAAAGAATATTGTGTGAAAAAAAAAAAACAAAGGAAGGAAAAGAGAATTGTCGATGACTTTAAAGTCGAAAACGTGCGATGGAAGGAAAGTTTGAAAGATGAAAGGGATAATGAATTTTCATCTACGAACTTTTTAGTTTGTGCGACCCATCTAGTGCCTTGTAGATATCCCCGCGTGTCTGTGCGAATATACCTGTACGAATATATGCGAAATTAATTGGCAGTATGATTAACAAGTGAATCTGGATAACAAAAATTAATAATGTGAATTGATAAAAGCATTGTTGTAAATATTACAAATTAGTCAAAGAAAGTTTGCAAGAATGAATGTTTGGCGAAGTATGTGTATTTAAATATACGAGTTATATATTTATAACACTATGATCATTATGATCGTGTGTTATGTATGAAAGAATGAAATTTTAATGATATGATCAATTAAACCAGGACTGAATGTTTTGTATTATTATCTATGTCAACGTAGTTTATGTTTCAAATAAACGTTTTTCATTCTAAAATTATTTAACTATTCTTATTCTTCTTATTTTATTATTATATATACCTTTATTTATCCCTTTTTATTATATATATTTTATATTATTTATATTATAATATATAAAATAGTGTATTTTACATCGAATATAATTGATCTGTGTTCGAATTTTATAGGACATGTGTTTTTGGAATTCCTCTCGATACAAAATTTATGAAAATCAACCAAGGACTATGCTCGGTCCACTTGGACCAGAAANAATACTATTATAATTTTAAATAGATAAATATAAATACTAATTTCAGAAAAATTATCTAAAAATATAATTTATATATATATATATATATATATATATATACGGTAAAACCTCCTATAGCGCGATTAATTCGTACCGCGTTATAAGAAACTCAGATTTTACGTACAAACAAGGTTATTTGAAACGCGTAATATGAAAACTCTATGCTGCGCAATAAGAAACTCAGAATTAATTCAAATCTGATTGATTCGTACTGCGTTATATGGGAACCACGTTGAGTGCAACTCGGAAGAGCAAGATGGAATGTCGAACGCGATAACTATAGATAGGTAGCAAAAATCTTTGGTTGTTTGTCAACGAAAAGATGCCCCGTTGTAAACTAAATAATTATTATAAATCCTTTCAGTGAGAAAATCTATACTCAGGTGTCTTCATCGTTGGTCAACACAGTCAGGAATTTTTGTATTAATTCTGTGTTTCTTATAGCGTGGTTTCCATATAACGCGGTACGAATTAATCGCGTTATAGGAGGTTTTACTGTATTTACTATATATATATTATATACGTATTTATTTATTATATATGTATTTATTATATACATATGTATATATATATATGCAGGTATTAAAACGTATGATTCAGTTATATTTCGTATAATTCATGAAATGAATTAATGAATTAACTGTACGCATCCTGTAAATTCATATATAATCTAATTATTTCCTCTCAAACTACTAATTCTGATATATGATAAAATTCTTGTTAATATAATCTTGGGTTTTAACGATTCAATTGACCAAGAGAGAGTCATGTTGACAGGAGACCGATTTTTTTTTAATTCTACACAATTATAGGAGTCCATCATGATTATAAACTGTGCACAGAGTAAGATCCAATACTCAACCTTTAGCAAGGAAACGAAGAGAGAAATGTCACATGTTTTCTTATACACAAGTTCGTTTTATGTTAGATGGAAAAATAAATTTTATAGAGTTTAATTAAAAAAAAAAACAAAACAAAATAGAATATACATAGGTCGGTTGAAAAGTTCTGAGTCTAGTAAACGACAATGGGTTGAAAAATTTTTAACCTAACATTATCGAGACTGAAAAGTTTTGAGCTTAACACGAAGTTAAATTAAATTCTTTAGAAAAAATTCTTAAGATAAACATTTAATCGATGATAGTATTATACACGTGTGTATTTCATTGATAAAATTTAATATTTAACATGCATATGTTAGGTGTACAACTTTGCTTCCGCGACCATTTGAACTTTTAAAACGGGGTTACCGTTTCTATACCTGAAATATTAAATACCTGCAATATTAAAATTCCATTTCCCAAGAAAATCATTTCAGAAACTCATTCTCCAACGAGAAACACACTTAAAATACATCTGATCGAAAAATGTGTTTAATCTGTTATGTGATTGAATCCCCATAAAATCACATATGAAATAACAATTATTTTTAATTGCAATAGCTTTTAAATGACATAGTGGATCAATTTGAAATGTTTACATAAACATTTCAATTGACATTAAATAAAATTATTAATTATAATAAAATTAAATAAAAACATTCTCTTAAATTTTCATTCTTTTCGTAAATATTTTGACACATATATCCGAAACATTCTTAAGGATTCCATCGTCAAATTTTGTTAAAATATTGAACGTTTACGTTTTGTTGATATCAATTAAAATACTTACGTCGGTCATTTTCTAATGCTGAAACATGCGAAAACACACAATAATAGATAAAATATATTTTTCTTATACGTGCGAGTGTTTTATTGTTATGTAAATGATATGCATATGTGTACGAGTGTGTGTACTATGCTGGCAAATAATAATAATATATATTTATAATATATACCCCTATATATATGTATACAAATTATTCCTTAAATTATATTTAACACAAAATATATATATATATATATATATATATATAAAATTTGTTTCCAAAAAAATTACGCGATCAAAAGTAACGCGTTTGAAAGTATTTAACTAAAAAAATTCACATGAAATTTCATTTAATGGCATCGTTATCGCATCGCGGTTGCATCGTCTGCGCGGAAGATGCGTCAAACGTGTCCTCGTTCAGTATTCGTTCCTTCATCCAGAAAGAGAGAGAAAGAAAGAAAGAGAAAGAGGACGAGAAATGGAAAGAGGAGAAGCGAGTAGAGGGAAAAGAAGGGACAAAGGATAAAAGACTTGGTAAAGAAAAAAAGGAAAAAGAAGCTTTTCTAAAAGCTTGCACAATAGTACGAAACTTTATCCGAAGTCATCGAACCCAAAAGGCTTTTGATCCCATTTAACGTCTTTCCGTTTTTCACTAACCCTCTTTTTTTCTTCTTTTTTTCTTTTTTTCTTCTATTTCTCCCCCTTTGAGCTCGACCAACCCTCTTGATCTCAATTTGGACAGATCGAGCTACTCATTAAGTTGTATATTATAGGCTACACCAACTGAAAGAAGGGTAGGAGAGGGTTAAGGGGGGTGGATTAAGGTCGACCTCGATGAAAGGAATCTGCGTCACAGGTAACTTTAAACTTGGATGAATCCGAACGGGGAACGTAGATATTTATTGTATAATGAATTTTGATCGATTATTATCAAAATATTACCGAGTATATAAAATAAATCAATTTTTTGATATTTACCATGTACCAGTTTTCTTTGACAAAATCTGATTACATTTGTGTGTCAGTATATATATGTTTGTGTGTGTGTGTGTGTGTGAGATGGAGGGGTATATTTAATAAGATAAATTGCTATGGATACTCGATCAATCGTTATATAATCTATTTAATAACAGTCGTTGATCATATCCGTGTATCAATTCACTAACGTTTTTTTTATTTCCAACGAAAACTCGGTTAAATATCTTTGGTTTATCCCTTCAATCAAGCAACCATTGTGCTATAATGCATTTTTTATTATCGAATAAAATGTTGCAACGAACGACAAACGAGTAATACAAAAATCGAAAAACGTTTTGCATATTTGCGTTAAATAATTTGACATCATGCAAAAGCGTTAATCTTATTTAATGTCGACTTTTATTTCCATTGTAAATAATTGCGTCGACGGGACACGATTTATATTCCATGAAATTTAATCGCGACAAATTAAATACCACGAATGTTTCTAATATTATACTTTATTTTGGTAAAAAAAAAAAAAAAAAGAAAAAAACAAAAATTAATAAATGAGAAAAAATTTCCTACAGAACGATTGAACTAGGATCCAAACAAAATTATTTGCAAATATCGAATCGGGATTGAGAAATCAAAATTCGCGGCTAATCTTGAACTGAATAATATTTTAGTCGTGAACTTTCGCGCGTATTATTTATGCTCGCGTTTTCCCTAAACAAAGACATTTAGTGCTTCGTCAAAACTTGTATGATAAAAGTATCCGCTGAGAGTGTCTTGAAATATCTTAAGACGTTGTTGCACATTGTTGAAAACGGGTCAAAACGTATTTACGGTTACGTGCCGCAAGTAGGAACCCGGGTACTTGAACTATTTTTAATAAAGAAACTAATAATAGACAAGTAAGTCTGTAAAAGATTAGAAGAGTTTCGAACAAATCTAAAAACGATTGAGCACGAGCACGAGAACTCGAACAAAACTCGAATGGCAAAGTAGTAAATCCTAGCGATGGTCGGACAGTCTAGAATTCGCAACTAGCGAGTAGTAAATTACGATTTATGTCAGACATACGATATATAAACCACTTTCCCTATCTGTCTCTTCTTATCGGTATTCGAAAAAATACTGGGGAAATATAGAAAAATCTTGGTAATATCGAGGAGAAAAAAAAGTCAATGGATATATGATATTTGAGGAGAGAAAAAAAATATTGGAAAAATGAATGGATCCATCCGGATGAAAACGATACAAACTGAAAAGCATTTCTCCATTTTCTTCTATACGTGGTAGTGATTTATCTATGGGGGCAGAGGGGGGGGGGTAAAGGAAGTGACCTAGAGAGTGTAAGTGTACGTGGTGTACGTCATGCCGAATGACAATGAGAGGAGTCGCGTGCTCGTACACGCGACGTTGTTTCCGGTTGGGTTTGGGAAACGTTTGGGACGACGAAGTTACGGATAACAATATGATAGGGATTGATAGGAAGGTGTAGATAAGTAGGAAGGTAGATAGGTAGATAGATAGGTAGATGGATAGGTAGAATAGCTGCGACGAAGAAGTCAAAGGGTATGGGATTAAGCTCCGACCGAGTTTGCTCGGGCACACTCCGTGTTCCCGG